CCTACTAGGTCACCAAGCTTCTCTAAATAATCTATAGTGTGGCTGTTTTCCATTAACAAGGGTCAGAAGTTTTGTCTAGACCCACTGATGTGAGATGAAGGGATTTCTTGGTAAGGTGGTGTGTTTTTCTTTAATCTAAACAATAGAATTATTTATCAACCTGCTTGAGTATAATTCTAAAACAACGTTTTTATTGTGAGTCATCAGATGTTTCTCCGTCTGGTTCTGAGGAGCTTCCTAGTTTGATAGATGTTTCCTGGACACTTTAAAGACCACACCACAGTGGCTTGTTCATTGGTAATCACTCAAGTCTTATTTATTGCCCTTGTAAATCATTCAAAGGCAATGCTTCTAAGAAGAAAAATATCAAATAACCTTGACATCTCCTCCCTAGGGCAGAATTCATTTTAACAGTGTACTAAGACCTCTTATATGATTCCCTTCCTGAGTTCACTCAGATTTGCTCCAGTTGTTGGAACTGAGAGCTTACAAGAGGGAAGAAAGCAAGCAACTGGAATTCTTATTGCTCTGCCAGAGCTTTTACCTATTTATTCTTCAACATTTTATATCAACCAGGGCCCTGTGTTACAAATAGAAAACTAGAATGGTTAAGCATTCTATACCTAAATTATACCAATAGTGAGCTCTGGTAGCCTAATGGTAAAGATGCTGCACTGCAATCCCAAAGGCATGGGGTTCGAATCCAACAGCTCCTCTGCAGGAGAAGGATGGGCAATCTCCTCCCATGTGATTGACTGCCTCTGAAAACCCGCTGGAGGGTCAGCTACGGGTTGGTTCTCACTCGACAGCAAACAACAACAATAAGTGGTAGAGCCAGTTATTCCAACTCTATAAAGTCCCAGGAGTCCCTTAAATCGTGGTTAAATATAAATCTGTTGGTATTTGTACACAGGCATTTGTTTTAAAACATGCTAACCATTCAAACGAGAGACAATTATCTGTTGCTGAATGATATTTTTATTAGCTTAATGACTTGGGCCTGCCCTTAGCATTAATAAGCTTCAACACTAGTCAGAAGGTTTTCATTCAGTGGTGGGGAAGCTTTCTTGTTTTAAAAAATGTAATCTGAGAAAGGGCATCTATTTCTTGGGAGCTGCAGTGACAGCAGGCTTCTCTTCACGAGTGATGGGAATGGTACGCTCAGGGCCAGGGGCCTGTTTCCTTGGTCCATTCACAGTAAGGACCCCATCAGATGACAGGGATGAAGTAATTGCAAGAGGGTCTACATCAGCTGGGACCCGGTATTTCCTGTGGAACTCCCGGGAGATGAAGCCATGTTCATCCTAATTCATGGGAACAGAAAAGAAACAGAAAAGGAGAGATAAGAGTAGTTCATAAATTCACTTGCCAAAACCTCAAACATCCCCACTTTCTTTAGGTGGAACCAAATACCATGGAAACTTGTAAGGAGAAAAAGCTAACAGCTCTTCATTTCAGTTTGGGGCTAAAGTTGTCTAAGTGGTTACTGCTGCCTCAAGAGTCTGAGAAGTCTGCAATAGCTCCCACACTTCATAGTTACCCAGCCCTGAGACATGGAGATGTTTAGCTCAGCTTAGTTTAGGGCTATTTCCTAAATATGTTTCCTCAATGTTTGCGAGGCCTACAGAATCTGAATCTCATCTCAGCTGGTCAGTCCCAGAGGAAAACCAGTAATTGTCCTTACTCTAGGAACGTTCCAGACCAATAAGAGTGCTGCTAAAAAGGAGTCACTCCATCCCGCTATGACCCAAACTTGAATGAGTGAGCAAAACTGAAGCAGCCTGAGGACATCAGACTGTTCTGTCCTGTGTGTACAGTGAAAGGAATGCTCATTTAAAAAATGCTCCCAGAAGGTACTAAAGCGAAGCTTTTCAACTCTCCTGTCTCCTCTAAAGAGCACTTGACCCTTATCTTTACACCTTCTAAATCTCAGGAATTTATTCAGGTAGACTCAATTAACCGATTATCATAGACCTTAAGGGATTGGGAGCGAAGTGCAGTTCTGAAAAGTAGACAAACCACATAGTCTGAGATTAAGGAGAGGTAAAATCCTGAAAAACACATAAAGTGGTCACAAACCTAAATGCCTTCAGGGTGCATGCAGTTAATTAATTATGTAATTACAATTGTTGCTGGCAAGCTCTATGCCTAAACCAGTGGTTCTCAACTTTGACTGCAACATTACAATGATCCAAAAGAGTTTTAAAAACACTTATCCCTGAATTGTACCACTAACCATCCTGATGTCAACAGACTAGAGCACACTTGAGCATTGGGATGTTTGCAAAAACTTCCACGAGGATTCAAACTGGCTATGGTTGAGAGCTATTGGCTTTAGTAGAGAGTGAATATTCCATCTATCCCCTCTAAGACATTAAAAACAAACAAAAAAGGCCACTTGTAGGCAAACAAACACAATTCCAAAACAAAATAGAATGTAGTCTCCTAGCTACTGATTTGTGACATTGATCCAGACCCTTATATCTTGGGACTAGGATGCTGCCGGCATCAGAGGGCATGTAATGAATGGGCAGAACTGAAAACAAGCCACATACCTGGCGCTCTTCATGTTTGCCATGCACCTCAATCACATCTCCCAACACTTTGACCTTGAGCTCCTCTGGGGAGAAATGCTTCACATCCAGGTTGACAGAGAACCTGTCCTTCTCCAGGTGCATCTAGAAATTGTGGATTGGAGCGTGAGGAAGGGGAGGTAGAGAAGATGAATGTTAATTACATTGGTGCAGGCTCACCTTTCTGTAGACTGTAGAGTTATTTCTACAAGTTTCTCTTTTTCAGCTAAGAGTCTCTTTTTGAATAAGCGTGGCTCTCTAGTTTAGGGATGCCACCATAACTGTGCACAAAGCATACCATTTGGCTAGCAGGCCTATGCTTTATTTACAGACACAGGGAAGAAAGGCCACCTATGAGGACTTAGCAAATCACAAGGATGGGCCTGGACAAGGCCTCTGTTGCCTTTCAAGCCAATGCCTCCTGTTGTCATTTGTCTGTAAGACAAAGGTCCCTTCTTCTTCTACTGGTCTCTGCCAAAGTTCCCACCCACTCAATCTGGAATGTTCTGCTAGTCCTCTTTGTCTTTCCAAGGCCCTTCCCCACTCAGCCACTGTTTACTCATACTTGAATATTTTTAAACCGCAGTGTTCTCTTGTGGCAGCTCCTGTCAACCTTATCTGTTCACCCGCTTCTACCAGTCTCTTATGAAAGTGAGGGGATGCCAAGACCAGACCTATACTCTTTCCTCATAAGGCTTAGATTTGGGTTTCTGTGAAACCCAGATAACTACAGAGGAGGGAATAGAAAGGAGGAGAATAACAGTGGTTGTCTCCAGATTCACCCAAAGGAAGGGAAAGTTCAAGGTGAGGAAGGATTCTCCCAGCTCTGAAACTTGAGATGATAATGTTTGTCAGGAGCATGAGGTGAGTCAAGAGATCTGGAGGCAGCTTCCCAAACATTCCCACCCCTGAAGGTCTTTAAGAACCAAAGGAGAGAACGTTCATGCCATTCTGCTTGGAAGTTAACAGAAGATGATCTTCCCAGAGCATCGAGAAGTGTAATAACGAGCATACAGAGAAACAAAATACAAGCAAGTGCCTGGAAGAAGAAGGCAACAGAGACTTTCTTTTCCTTCATGTCCAGACCCACATGCACCTGAAACACTTAAGCGACTTGACCTTCCTCAGGAAGGCAAGGCAAAATGATGGCGATGGTTCCAGAAAGTTCCAGGAATTATTCTCCTGTCTTTGCAGAAAGAGGAGACTCACCTCTGAGAGCCCGGTGTCAATCCAGCTGGGTGCCCGCAGGAAAGAGGGCGGTCGAAGGTAGAAGGGGCTCAGGGAAGTAGAAGTTGGAAAGAGATCAGATTCCAACAGGTGCTCCCCGAAGAACTGGTCAAAGAGGCGGCTGGGGGAGTGGAAAGGAAAGAATGGGCGTCGGATCCAGGGATGGTGGATGGCGATGTCCATGGTGGCTAGGTAAGTGTAGGGGGTCGGCTGGCTGGTCAGCTCCTTCAGCCGCAGCCACAGCCAGCCCTTTATATATGCAGTCTTGTGAAGCTTCTGGAATGGTGATGTCAGGGGTTTTATTATCCCAGCTCACCGCCAGTTCATGGAGACTTGTGATCGGGGATTTGGCAGGGTGACACATACCCAATACTCACTGAGCTAAGAAAAGAGAAACACAAACACGCCTGAGCTGGCCAGTGACTTGTCCTGGTCTTGTTTCACTGCCCTTCCATCCACACCCCATAGCACCCCCCCTTTCTGTTCTTGGGGGTTGGGGCAGAGTCAGGAATCCCAGGCAGCTGGGTGTTGTGTCCCTCCCCCTCCTCTCCGGTCTTGCATGCCAAGGGAATTGGGCCAGCAACTATCTTGGGCCTGGGCAGGGACTGGAATCTTCCTATGCTGGGCCCCAGGGACATTAACGCTTTGTGGGGGCCGGGAACGGTGATTGTGTCAGTGCCCGTCACCTGCGTGGGTTGTCCTGGGTTGCCCTGGGGTGGGTCGAGGACCCTGACACTAATTTGAGCAGGTAGACACCACCCTCAACCCTCCACCTCCTGTTCCCAAAGAAAAGGTAGACAAGTTTGTTTGATCTTTCACTGTCCAAGGCTCACAGAACGTCAAATCCAGGAGAATTCATGAAGGGCGAAGCACCGTCTGTGATTAAGGAGGACGAAGGGCAGTGTGGAAAATGTGCAAACTGTCCGTGAGTCAATGAGGGTCTCCGCCAGGCCTCTTCTCAGGGGCTCCAGCGTCCCTTCCCCCAGACCTCTCCTGAGGCAGGAACCCCCCAGCTGTCCTGTCCTGCACCCTGCGACAGCTGACGGGTGTGCAGGGGGCGGGGGCTGGGGGTCCGGCAGGCGCTGGTCGCACCCTTGCACCCTCGGCGCTCGCACTCGGCGCCCCGCAGCCCGCCCTCCCCTCCAGGCCGCGCACTATTTTGGGTGGTGTAGACCCCGCCCCCACCTCGCCCAGGCCCTGGTTCTCCCTGCCGCTGGAGGGGTCGCCCTGCGCCTGTTGGGGCTGCGCCTGAGAGCAAGGCCGCGCCTGCAGCCATGTCGGGCCGCTCGGTGCCACATGCCCACCCGGCCACCGCCGAGTACGAGTTTGCTAACCCGAGCCGCCTGGGTGAGCAGCGCTTCGGAGAAGGTACGGCACACGCCACCCCCTTGCCTCCCACCCCCACCTGCAGAAATTCTGGGCTGACCTCCCAACGTTGCTGGCTTCCACCCCACTTGGGACTTAACTGAGCTCCTGGGGCCAGCCATCTCCCACCCCAGACTGCCCTCCCCACCTCCAAGAAAGCGTGGCTCTCCCCTCCCTTCTGACCCGGGGACAGACAGGGTCAGACCCCTGCCCCCTCTCCCCTGCTGTGCCTTCTTTATCCCTTCTATTCACTTGCTCCAGTTTGCTTTATCCTCCCTCGATCCCATCTCTTTCCTTTCTCAGCGCCCTTTCCCCAGCTGCCCCTGTGTTCCTTGCCTTTCACCTCCCGACAGGGCTTTCCCTTCTCGTCTCCCCCCTGTTCCCCCACCCTTCCTTATCGTCCCATCTACTCTCAAACCCTCGCTTCATCCCTCCTCTTCCGTTCTCTCTGCCTCTGCCCTCCAGGCCTCCTGCCAGAAGAGCTCCTGACTCCCACCCTGTACCACGGCTATTATGTTCGACCCCGGGCCACCCAAGCTGGGGAGGGCAGCAGGGCAGGGGCCTCGGAGCTCAGGCTCAGTGAAGGCAAGTTCCAGGCTTTTCTGGACGTGAGCCACTTCACCCCAGATGAGGTGACCGTAAGGACAGTAGACAACCTGCTGGAGGTGTCTGCGCGGCACCCCCAACGCCTGGACCGCCATGGCTTTGTGTCCCGGGAGTTCTGCCGCACCTATGTCCTGCCTGCTGATGTCGACCCCTGGCGGGTCCGCGCTGCTCTCTCCCACGATGGTATCCTTAACCTGGAGGCGCCCCGTGGTGGGCGGCATTTGGACACAGAGATCAATGAGGTCTACATCTCCCTACTCCCAGCGCCTCCTGATCCAGATGAAGAGGAAGATGCAGCCAGAGTTGAACCCTGACTGCCACAGCCCCAAGCACCAGCAAATCCCTTTCTACTTCCCATGGCATGATGCTGACAGCCCTAGAGGTAGCAGCATCCTTGGGGGGGGGGGGGAGGTAAGGGTAATGGCTTGGTCTGCCGTGTATTGTTTGGTCCCTTGGGACGTGTTATAGCCTTTGGCTTAGTTCTGGCAGAGTTGAATAAACCCAAGACTCAGGGCCTTGTTTGTGTCACTCCCTGTTGCGTGGCTTGGAGGACTGGATGGGCAGGGAGGTAGGAGGTGAGTGTTGGCTAGACATAAAGCTCCTCAGTTAGATGTGCCAACGTCATGGCACCCTGAGCTCACCGTGGATGCTGAGATCACACCCGGAAGCTGGCATTGGCTCCAGATAAAATTCCGAGCCATAATTTTCTCACAATGCAACAAAAGAGAGTGTGATCCTGGGAGGGAAAAGGGATATGCTATCCAAACAGTCCAGAGGGCACTGTCTGAGCTGGTGATTAGGGACACAAAAACAAGGGTCTCCAGACTGTCTGGCCTTTTTTGGGTAGGGGTTGGGAAAATGGTTTCTGGCTGGAGAGAATTGCCTAAAACAAAATATTTTGTATTCCCATGCTAGAGTCTGTTCACTGAAAATGGTCTCTGATTCCAAAAGACTGACTACGCACACAGACAAGGATATAGACACAGAAATGCCTGCCACCATCACTAAACTCCAGTCTCTACATCCTCAACACAGCAGATGCCCAAGAAGGAGAATCGTTGTCTCTATTTTTGGAATATCCCAGAGAGAGAAATTAACGCATCTCCTCATTCAGTCAATCCAACACCAAATGTAAAGCATCTGGTTATGGTGATGATACCAGGGACCTTGACATGGAAGTACGTACAAAGTTGGGTCGTAACACTAGGAGTCTAATAATATGTTTTATTCTGGAAATCTTAGGAGCTGTTGTTGTTAGGTGCCATCGACTTAAATATGACTCGTTGTGACCTTATGAACAACAAATTTGAACCCTACCCTATTCCTGTGCCGTCCTTACTATTCCTGTGCCATCTCTGCTATGCTCAAGCGCATTGTTACAGTTACTATAAACTTAGGGCCATGGCCCCTCAATTAGAGAGACCATGAAATCAAGAAAGTATGCATGAACTCCTTCCTGATGCCCAAGTATGTGAAATGAAGTCTCACTGGCCTGGCTTCTAAGAAGCAGCTGGCTGCACTTTTTTCAAGTTAGATTTGTTGGTCATTTTGGCAGGCTATGGTGCAATTGGTATTTTTGCCCACCTGACAATTCAAAGGCATCAGTCCTTCTTGGGTCCTTGGGTCTTCCTTCATTGTACAGTTCTCACAGACATACATGATGACTGATAATACCATGGCTTGGGTCAGCCCAGTATAGTCCTTTAAATGACATCTTTGCTTTTTAGCACTTAAAGGAGGCCCTTGGCAGCCCATTGCTCCCTGCCCCCACACTGCAATATGCAAATTCATTTTTTGGCTGCTGTTTCCGCAGGGATTCATGTTGGATCCAAGCAAAGGGAAATCCTTAAGAATTTCAATCTTTTCTCCATTTATCTTGATGTTTATAAGTCTAGTAGTTAAGATTTTTATTTTCTTTATGTTGAGGTGTAATCCATACTGAAGGCTATGTAGTCTTTGATCTTCATCATTAAGTTCTTCAAGATTTTTTCATTTTATTCTGCAAAGTGTCATCAGTATATTGCAGGCTGTTAATAAATCTTACTCCAATACTAATACTGCTTTCTTTGACATAGTGCAGATTCCTTATTTGTTCAGCATATAGATGAGTAAGCATAGTAAGACACATGTCTGACATACACCTTTCCTGACAGGAATACACGCAGTATCCCCTAGTTCTGGTCAAATGATTTTGGGAAGGTCTTATGTATAGGTCTTCACAAGCACAAATAAGTATTCTTAAATTTTCGTTTTTCTTGATGTTATCTATAATTTGCTACACTCCATACTATCAAATATATTTGCGTAGCAAATAAAACACAAATACGTACTTTTCTGGCATTATCTGCTTTCAGACATCTCCATCTGATGTCAACAATGATATTTCTCTTTCCAGGTTCTCTTCTGAATACAGCTTCAATTTTTGCCAGTTCTTTATTAAAGTACTGCTCCAGCCATTTTTAAATGATCTTCAGCACAGTTTAACATGTGTGTTATTGATGATGATTTTCTATAATGACTACATTCCGACGGGTCACCTTTCTTTGAAATGGGTACAAATATAGATCTCTGACAGTTACTATGTAGAATTTTCATGTATTCATTAAAGTTATTTTTTTTCTTATCTAACAACTCTTTTGCTTACTTTAAAAAAATAGTAAAATAAGAGGTATGTAAGTATAGGATTTGAGATGAGTCCGGAAGCCCTTCCTGCTTCAAAACTTATCTTTTGACTATTGTAGACATCAGGGAGTGCTGGTGACTGTAGTAAGGAGTTGTGCTGCCATCCTAAAGATACACGATTCAAATCCACCCCCTGTTCCATGGGGGAAAGATGGGCAATCTCCTTCTGTGTTATTTCCATGGGAAAATATGGACAATCCCTTTTAGTGCAATTTCCACTAGAGGAAGATGGGCAGTCTCCCCCCGGTGATTTACTGTCTCTGAAAAACCTGCTGGAGACTCAGCCAGGAGTCTTTTTGGCTTAACGGAACAAAACAATAACAAACAATTGTAGATAACTGAAATTTTTCTACTCTAAGAGGTAGCCCTTAAACATTTTAGGTTACAGATACTTTTGAAAATTTGACAAAAGATAGATAGATAGACACTTTCTTAAAACAAAACAAAAAAAGCACATGCCTACAATTTTGTTTGGCATTTGCATACCTCTAAAGGATAGAAGGAGAATTGATATCTTTGAGCTGTGGTGCTGGAGAAGAGTATTGAATGTACCATGGAACTGCCAAGAAAAGAAACAGATTTATCCTGGAGAGGGTTAAACCAGACTGCTCCTTGGAGGCAAGGATTCTGGGGCTTTGTCTGCCATACTTTGGACATGTTGTAAGGATGGAGAGGGACATCATGCTTGGTAGGGTGGAGGGACAGCGCAGGAGGGGAAGACCCTCTATGAGGTGGACTGGGGTAATCGGGATGGGTGTGTCAGAGGCAGTGTGATTGGCACAGGATAGAGCAGGGTTTATGTTGTACACAGGGTCGCTATGAGTCGCAAGCGACTCAATGGCATATAACAACAACAAAGGACTCATGGATGCTATGATAAAAAAGCAACTATGAGTGGCAAGTGACTCGATTGCAGATAACAACAACAAGATAAAAACTTTCGCTTGAGGAATTTTTGGCTAAAGATGGTCTTCTGTTAGAAAAAGTATACATGCCTCAGAAAAGTATTTATCTATTGATTCTTTTAATTTGTTCAATAAATATCAAACTCCAGGAAATATATCGCACAAGGAATATACATTATAAAAGGAAAATTATAAAATGAAGCAAGTGTTCTTAAGAACCATAATATCTGTTGAAAAGAAAATGATTTTTTTTTTTCAAAAAAGGACACTACTCAGACTTACAAGTCTACACACACAAAGTGGAACAATTTCAATCTTTTTTTATGACTAAGTATTTTACAGGGACTTTTTAGAAAGAATTTCTTAGCTATGAAAAAAATTAAAATCTCAGATTTAGTCCAATTTGCCACCATATGGTTTCACATTTTCAGCTAACTATTCCTCAGGCATTTTGAGGGACAAAGAGCCTTCCTTCATACAGTAATGATGGTGACATGGACTCAGAGTTTATTTTTAAGATGATAGTAAATGTTGCCTATGTAAGATATATTGTGATTTTTAAAAATTTTATTTATTTTTGTGTGTGTACCATCAAATTGGATCTGACTGGTACAGGAGGAGATTGCCCCTCCTTCTGCAGGAGAGCAACTGTTGCATTCAAACCACGTACCTCTGGGATCGCAGTGCCGCTTCTTGCCACTAGGCCACCAGAGCTCCCTATGTAAGGTTTTCTAACTTGACTGCTCAACACCACTTGTGTAAGGTCTTTTAAACTAGCTGATTAGCTAGCTCTGAGACACATTATTCTAAGAACTAAGGATTTTCAATCAAGTCTGCCTGAAATAAAAAAAAAAATAATAACCAAAAAGCAAAACCCACAGAGAGATTACCTGAAGACTGAATCAGCAAAAAAGAAGCCTGCTGACTTCCTACCTTGAATATAAAGCACAGGATTTCTGACTGACATCAGGGGACAACCTTATCAGATCGCTGGACCTTTTGCTCCAGGACCCTCCCCATATTCCTTTCACTTTCCTGCTGTCTTTGGTCGCCCCATTAAAAGGCCTGGTGTGATTCTGAGATCGCAGAGATTCTGGGATGCAATTGCTGTCTCTCAAATCACAGATATCTGAATAAAGAGAATTTAAGATTTAATCTTTGTTTCTATTCAGTTGGCTCCTAGTGACAGACAGTCAAACACCATTGTTTCTGGCTACAGTACACTTCCCCCACCCGCGATAAATCTGTTAAAATTCTTCCTTTTGTTGAACCAAAATCCTCATGTAAGTAACTTCTGTTCATGGGCCACCATTTATTGTTTGGTCCAGAACCAATGTCCAGAAAATAAATGCAGTCCTTCTTTCAATGAAAAAGCCTTTGTATATTTAAAAATAACCACCTTGTTCTAAGGCTTTCATTTTCTCAGGGAAACATAATCAATTCTTTTAACTGTGTTGACTATATCCTGTACCAAATCTAATACCATCTACTACACAGTCTAGTTTCTCTTGAATACATGGCTTTTTCATGTTGTCACTTGTATCTAAACCTAAAATTAGTATTGTATATTTCAATGACACCATCCAATTTTCCAAGAGTCTTACTTTGTTCTGATTATTCACTGGCATTTATCGCTGTTTCGATTCATTTTTATTCTTGCCACATCAGCAAATGAATGTCCTACACAGGGTAGAAGCTTTGCTCCATGTGCATCATTGAAGTAGATTCTGCTTGGATCCCTTCCATCCTGATCTTCCAGCTCTATTTCCAATGAAGAATACAAGAAAGATGCTTAGCTGTATTTTATTAATTATGCAACAGACTTTGACTGTTGGATCATAATAAGTTATGGATAACCTTGAGAATGGGAATCTCTGAGACTTAATTGTACTCACGTAAAACCTATACCTAGACCAACAAGACAGAAC